TCCAAACACGGACCTATAAGGCCATTACGAAATGATTTCCCAATGGTGCTTTTAAGACGAGGAGTCGATTTCGTATTGATCGAGCCGAATGGCAGACATAAATTCTCGTCTGTGATTATATAGAATGTTACCGGGTAACGATCATATTTATTGCCAATATTTTAACATTCAATGGGGCTAATAACAATAAATTTAAATTACAATGATGATCGATTTTATCGTTTGAAAATTACCTATTGTTACGGCTATATAACAAAACATCACAATGCATGAAGTCATCGAACAAGCGGTTATTATTTAAAGCAACTTCATATTAATATGTTCAATACAATGTTATATTTACAAATTAAATTTGTAATTTTCTTATAGAAAGTGTTTTCAAATTTTTAAAACCGTGGTCAATATCCAAATAATATGTTAATTTTCAGTTTCAATTTTACTCAATTTCGTTTAAATATGCATTATTAATCAGGAAATGTACATAGTAATTTATCTGCACAGCAAGAACAAATCGACTTGATGAGCCTTGATAATGAGTTTTGGATTCACATAAATGTTATAGAAACTGAATAATGTTTATTGAAAATGTTATGTACATAAATTCTGACAAACATATCTCTTTTAAGGAATTTCTTGGTCTAACATCAGGAAACGAGGGTAGTGATGAAAAATTAATATACATTGATCTGAAAGTTCCTAGTTCTTGTATTAGAAAGAAGGATAATCCCCTTAAATTGAAAATAATTGGAAAAGCCTAGGAAATGAGGAATTGAAATATAATTGCTAAATGTATCGTTACCTATATCATTAGATGTCAGTTTTACTATACGGAATGGTTATCAATACGTTATTAACCGAAAAAAAATTTTCCCCATCACTTATCCGTACAACGATTATAACATTACAAAACCGTCGAAGAAAAAAAAAACTCGCGATGTATCATTATTTCGCAGTGAAGTACCAAATGAGTATTAAATTAATATACATATAACATACTAATAAAATCGATCGTGTTTAATGTTCTAATACGTTAATTCATTTACGTAATTTAATGTACTTGAAACAGAGTTAACACACTTGCATTTAAATTTTTCATGAATAAATTCGAAAAGTCAATAAAATATCGATTGTGAACATAGTGGTTGCACTTTATTTATAATAACGCATTACGTGGTAACCATAATAAAATTATTTATATACATTTGAAAAAATTAACTAAATGAAAATAAGCACAACGACATGGGTGAGTGCTTCACTTTGATTAAGCACATAAATAGTATGTTCCAATCATCAACTATGATGTATTATAATTGTTTACGTATCTTAAAATAAATATAAATATCAATAATATTTTTTATACGCATACGACGCACTAAAAAGAATAACAAGACGGTATTCCGTCAGTATGTGTGAATACTGTCAATAACAACTGTCAAACAAATGCAATGTAACGGTACTTCAAAAGACTTATATTCATATGCGTAAAATTTGTACAATGGACACAAGAAAAAATAATAATTTATATAGGCAACTACGTATTTTTGATTTACGTATTCGATATAGATGCATTTGAATCGAATCTTCAATTTTTTTTTTTTTCGTTCTCATAAGCGTCAATGAAACATTATCATACAACTCCGATTTTAAGTCTTCCCGAGTTATTCACGTTACATACAAGTAAATTGGAGGATTGTCAATCAATTGAAATGAGTGGACTTCTTACGATACTCGGTGGCAGTATTGCCATGTTATCTGTTGTATGTGAAGTCGCCTGTTACAACGCTGAAAATTGTTTTTCGTTTGTTTTTCACGTCCCGTTAGTTCACATATTGCTATCAATAGTTCCGTAGCCATACACCAAAAAGATTCGTATCGTCTTAAAAGCGAAGTTTTTACACGCGAAATATATGAGTCATTCCGTACAAAAGTTCAGATCCCAATTCCACTGTGTTTTTGTATTGCTATTGTTTATTTTCTCATGCTAGACTGTGCATCGTAGTAGTACGCGTTGGAATGAACGAATATCATAATTTTACAATGCACGCCTTAATATTTTGGTACATTTTTCTGAATGACGGTCGACTATGTTGGCTGAGGATCTGGCACATATCTCGTAGTGTAATCGACGTGCATCGCTCTCGTAACATTAACTTGATTGATTTTAATTTTTTTCTTCTTTTACAACGAATGTATCGCCAGCAACGATTCAAATATCTGTGAATATCACGACAATCATAGAATCATAACATCATAATACTGTTTGAATTTCCGAAATCCAATATTTGAAGTACGCAAGTAATAATAGTTACAAGCACACCTGTTTTGCGAAACACCTGTAATATTTGTTCTTCAGTGGGATATTTATTTTTATTTTTTATATTCGGAAATTTAATAACATCTATTTAATTCATTATTACCAGAATACCCTTATTGGTAGATGGGTAATAAAAGAATAAAACATTTCTTTCACGGACCACTTAAGCGTAGGTGTTTATCTAAAAATAAAATTATTTTGAGAACATTTAATTTTATTCTCAAGAATAAATTTAATTCATAATAAAACATAATTGTATAAATATTTCACTATATTTTTATACCGTGCATTTTTATTTATTACCGTTATAATAAATACTTCATGGATCATATTCAAATTAAGATTTTGACATCACTATTTTCCATCGGTCTTTTGCGTCAATTTATGTTTTATTTATGTTATAGTAGCTTTTGTAGTCTTTAAATTGATTCTACGTGCTAAATACTAAAATGTAACAATGTGACAATGTGAAAATCTTCGAAAAGTGTTATGTTGCTATTATTTCGCTATACTTTGTGTCATTTATTTTATAACTACAAAGACGTTTCGTAAATTATTTCAGAGCGCAATCGATTTTTCGTTTACAACTCGCATATAAGTGTATATGTACGAGTTGTTGTAAAACGAAATACCATCAAATAGTATTGGATTAAAGTATTCGTTTAAGATAATGATATACAATTTCTGTGACAACACTAGGAAATCCCATTAGTTTCTAAAACAAAATATGATCCCTGCAAGCATTGAATTCGTTGTAATTTAACTGGACGTTTAGTTGTTGAACGTGTCTGAAATTAAAAAATCACGAACAATTATTAATGTTCGATTGAATACGGAACGCACGATTATGACGAGGGACCTAACGGTAACGTCTAACGACGCGTGTTGGCGATGAAAAATCTTATTTGTACGACGTCATCCACGTGAAAACGTGTACATAGGTGGAGGTTTTGTTTAACGCCAAAGTAAGGTTTACCGGTACACGTGATAATGCGTTCCATAAAACACGGTGACGTGAAATTAGTAGTGAACAGGTGAACAGAGGCGAACCATAAAACGATTTCGGACTCGTTAAATTCTCACCGGACCGGTCAGCAAGATAATAACACTTACAGTGCAGTACGTGTTGTTATCATTACCGTTTATCGATTCGGTTGCAACATGATTTTCCGCAATCGTGTATGAGCGGGAAGGATTAGGTGGGATAAAAACGCGACAAGGTTCTCAAATCACACTGTATACGCGTGCGTGTAACGAAATTCGATATCGTTTAGCTGAAATAACCATTCTCAAGAGTGCATTCGGATAGTTCTACTTAAGATAAATTGTTTTTTCCATATCTCCAACATCGAATTGATTGATTTGGGACATATAATTCCAATATCATATTTATCGAATTGTTATAAGTATGTATTGTTTGCGGACAACTATAAGTTATTTTTAAAAGTTCATACAATTAACAAACATTGCGTGTGTAATTAAAACTGGTCGAAGAACAAATACTACACCTGTATAACATTCCAGGAAAAATTGAAAATTTTAATAATTGAAAACCAAAAAAATTTACTGAAAACGAATTTTAAACCATATGTGATAGTTTTTACACGGAATGGGTATAATTTTTTTTTATGATTTCAATGTCATGCGGAGAAATAAGCTATCGCATATAATTTCAAAAACCCTTCAACAGCACACGCATGTAGTGCGTAAAAACTTGTATACATCCTAAGAACTGTTTAACATAAACGAAAAGCTTACAGTATACGTATAGCGTTACAATCGAATCGGTTGAGTAAGTTTGTTTCTCAAATCAGATTCGTTCAGAATAGAAAAAAAGTCCTTCTCCACATAGATTTCGAAAAAAAAAAATCCCGGTCAGGAATTCGTAAGAAATACAAACAGATTCGCTTAGATTTCTGCATCGGTTTTATGGTAACTTTCTCGAAAGTTAAAACTTATATGGAACTCTTGTTGCAAGAACTATTCTACTTATTCCAGTTATCATAATACAATATTAAGTAAAACTTCAGATTCTGTACACCTTACGGTTTGATTTTCGGTTACAGTTGAAGTCCAGTTGAAGGAGTTAGAATCTTGTTAACTTTTCGAGACTCTCGAGTGTCGTTTTTGTCAACTTTTTCATTTTATTGTTTTTGGTCTTCATAAACTATTTGTGTGTGTATGGAATATAATCTGCACCCTATCAGTCGAAGTGAAACTTTACTGTGCTCCAAATAGTTGTGCACACGAAAAAAATAAAATAAATTATACGAAAATTTGATACGATCTGACCCGTATTTAAATCCCAGTGTTCCTAAACAAATCCAATATTGATGGTTCTCGGGGGAATTACGTCCGTTTGTACTCGGTGTTTTAAAAATATTACTAAACACGATGGCGATCAACACTAAACTGAATAACTGAAACATTAATAACGTATTACAATGCATCATAATAATCGTTGTTGACTGGTTCAAAAGTCGAAGGCACGGAGCGAAAACCTCACGGAACACCAACAGTTCGTTTAAATTCAGTTGACTTATCAGTTTTATTAAAGTAACGGAACAAGGGCCTTAGACGGATCCTTAACGAACCCGCACGTTCTTCCCCCAACCCGGGGTCGTTAGACCATCAAGATCCCACGAACCCTTCAGGCCCATCCCCGTATCGCCCGGGTCCCACTGACCTTGTGCCGGGGCGTAGATGTTTAGGTACAGGCAGTCCTCGCTCTGGTTCTGCAGGTACGGCAACAGACGGCGCAGGTACTGCATGCGGCCGTGGGCCATCGTCTTCAGAGCGGCCGTCTCGTTGGACACGTCGGGCAACCGTTGCGGGCACACCGGCCCGAACCGATCGGCCACCTTGACGCCCGACCACAGGGACCCGGTGACCGGCGGCATGAACCGCAGCGAACCGACCGGCGGCGAGGCGTACGGTACGCCTCGGAACACCTCGACCGCGTCCAGCCGCCGGTTGTCGGGCGTCACGATTACGCCGCTCACGTCCCCGTACTTGGTGCGCACTACCCGGCTGGACGTGAGCGCGGCGCTGACGCCGCCGAACACGAACGCCACCAGCAGCCACCACGGCGGCACCATGATCGTCGCGGTCACCGCCGCAGCCGCCGCAGCCGCTGCAGACGACGACGACGTGGACGTGGACGCCGTCGTCCCCTCACGCACGTCGCATGGACTCGGCCGCCGCCACCTTCGACCCCGGGCTCGTCGGACGGTGCGATGTCACTTCTGGAAAACCAAATAAAAATAAAAATTAATCGATCGAAAGGATAACGTTTGGAATTGCTGCGACCAAGAGTCGTGTTTGACGAGGTTTTCTAAATCGGGTTGATAACGATTTGCCATCGACGTTCGATCCGTTTCCGTATCGAATCGGTACACCGTTAGTAGGGGACCGCAACAATACTAATCAGTTCCATGTCCCTGGCCCCTCGACTTTGGAAATTCAAAATCAAAATTATGTCATTCACTTGTGGTTCATTTGTGCTGGTTTAACATATGCTTTTTATTCCGCCGTTTGTGCTTAACCCCTTTCCAAGCAATTTCAACATGGAACAACGGACATAGATCGTAACTTTATGAATACATTTGCTACGCGTGTTTGATTCGTCCTGTTACCGGCAAGTCGTTTGTGTGCGAGTAATTTTGTTGAACATTTGTAATTGTATTGTTAAATCGAAACTATCAAATGAATTCATTCAAACTACTAATGTTGTACACTAGGAATTTGCCCGGAGAAAATGTTAAAATTACGCCCTATCATGGACCAACAATCAAATACTATTCTTAAGAATTTTTTTTCTAATAATTAATATACAATAGTATTTATTGAGGTTTAACCTAATAACAGTATTTATTAAAGTTAAAAATATCAAATTAGTTGTTAATAATTCCAAACATTTTACTCTCTATAGTTTTACGCCTTGGGATTAATCCCCGTCTTTCACCTCCTAGTTCTACCCTCTAATTCCACCCCTGATTGTAATACGATTTATGCTTTATAAAATATTGTGATATATGTTGGTGTGATTTGCGGTATTATGCATTTGTTCCGAACGACTAGGCCGTTTACAACGGTCTTTAACTTGGATATAAATCTAACGGTACTCCGTAAAGCGACAATGTTTATATTATTCATAGTAACATTGTTGGTGTTTCGTCGGACGATTTAATATTCACACGTTCATAAAATGTACGTGGAATACAACCGGTGGAAATCATGCTCAGGGATGGTTTTTGGCAACGGCTTTCGTTGGATAGGAATTTAACTCGTACCGCGCGTGCATCGTATACTTCATTATTATTATCACTCGTTTGGAGATTCGAAAGACAGAACTCGTTACGAGTGGTAAACGCGCCTGTGCACGAAGCAGACAGGCACGTATCATGGAGTGGATCTCGAGATGTCTTGACCTCATAGCCCCAAATTTTTCCGTACCTATTCATCAATTATAATTCTTTGAAGTTTAAAATTTAAACAGATTTTTCTACAATGTAAAGGGAATGGAAATCAAAAGGTTTTATATCTCATATGCACGAGAACTGTATTGAAAACGATTACAAACGATTGTAAAAGTTTCTAATTTTGGGTGTAGTTAATCGAATTTTTTCAGAGCCCATGAAAAATTAAATTCTGTCACGTGCTTGGACACAGATTGCGCTCAACGCTTTCAACCCCTCTGTACGCCGCAAGTGTACAACAATACATCGTTGTATATAAAAGGCTACCATGTATGTGTGTGTGTGTGTATGTGTACGTGTATGTGCATGCGTGCAGTTGCGGACCGAACTTTTTTCTACCGTACGCGACGAAAAACATTAATCTCGAAAACGTCCGATCGATCATTCGACACGGTGAATGGATGTCAAATGTTCGCTCTCGGCTGATATATCCCCTTTCGCAGTTCGGAGTGCGCGGCCACGGTACAGGTGCGCCACAGCCCGCGAGCGCGACACACGGATTTATTTCGGATTACAAGAAACCCGGTACGACCGATTACACGACAATAAACACGATATTCCGCCATAGTTGTTGGTCGACGTGTATGTTCGCCACTCAAAACGACTTGCTTCACTTGACTTGGCCACTGCGGTGTCGCGATTCACTTTCATTGCTTATGTGTGAGTTTGTACACTGCACGTTGTACGTCATAAGCGCACATGACGTGTGAGAATCGAAGGAGCCGAAGTCCTGAAGGATCATGTACATATATGTATAAAACAGTAAAGTATTAAACGCAAGGAATGCGAAAAAATAACAGAACACGTTTGGGTTTGGGAGAGGCGAGTGTGTTATCGGCATTTTTGGCGGAGTTAAGCCCCTAAAGCGCGTAAGGTTATATCGTTCGTTTCACCGACAAGAGTGTATTGTTCTGACGCAGATTGTCTGACGACATTGTATTCGTAGTCGTTTATCGCGTTAGATATTGTCGTGACGTTCTCGCGTTTATTGCCTGTTACCCGTCGTAAACCGGGATTTAAAAAACACCGCACGATATCATAATAGAAGCTATTCGTGGCCGTTAATTTAGTAAAACGATACGTTTCGCGCTCGCGATAATATGTCCTAAACGAAAATTGTATAAACGTTCCTTCCGTGTGTCGTCGAGCTAAGGAGCGTGTTGAGTTTCGGCACAACGCACTGACAGCAGTGTGACGATACGACGTTTGACTGTTTGTAGCCAATTGAACGGATCGTTTCGACCTAACGAGCCACGAAGTTAGGTTGTGCACACATATTGCAATGGGTTAAGTTAGGTTATATCATATTTTTTTTTTTCAAATTTGAATCGAAACGACCATCTGGGTCTTTGTCGATGTCTTTTTCGCTTGGAAGGGGTCGAGTGCACTAAGAGGCACTTATACCTCCTTCTCTAAGAAGATAATTTACACGTGTGTGGACTTCACTCCCAGTGAAGTGGGTCCAGTGGGTGACAGAGTAGGCAACCAGAATGACGGCAGGGGAGGGAGAACACAGAAAATTCTGCAGAATATTTTTTGCACTGAGCCGGGTTCGAACTGGTGACTGCGCGCGTCGTGGCCACATTGTGTGACCACTGTACCACTCTACCCCTTAAGAAAAAAAAATAAAAATAAAAAAATATCTTATTAATGTGATAAATATCAGGAACCAAAGTACATACATTGATCGAGTCTGATCAACTCGCGTTCGCGTATCGTTTTAAACACGAAGTATACGTTCTCGCGGAAATATTTGAAAGAAAATTACATTTCCATTTATTTGTAGAGGAACAATCACGTGGTATATCATTGAAGACGGTGTCCATTTAAGCATTATAAATGTTCGAAATATAAATACAATTATCACAAGTATTATAATATTAGTATTATTGTTTAAGATTAGCCGAGTCTATTATAATTTATGAACATCAAATATAACATTGATTATATTAAATCATTTATGTATATAATATCACTGCAGTTAAAATTAATTAATTTATTGTTAACAAATATCGATTTAAACATAAGTTTTCCAGCGAACGGAAAAAAAATTTCAATTAATGAACAGATAATACTGCATCAGGATTTGCTATTAAAATGTATACGATCATTATTCATGGATTTCGACTAATAATTTGTTGAAATTGATTGTAATTCAACAGTTATTTTACCTAACTGTCGCGTGTGCTTTTTATCCATCTGTAAATAATAGCAATCGTTACCGTTAAGTGCGTTGATATCCATAATCGGTCGTGCCGTAACAGTTATGTAATAATTCAGTGATCACGGGAATTCATTGTGGCCACCATCACTCAACATTTTTAACCTGTCTGCGTTGCGTCTGCCATAGCATGGATTACGTTTTTTTTTCTCGGAATGAACAATTGGAGAAAAAGTGAAATATTGATGTTTCAGTACACACATTCCGGTGTGAAATTCAAAATGTTTTCAACCCATTTGGTTGAAAATATAAATTAATTTTTAAAATTAGAGCCACTAACTTTCTCATAGCTGCAAATTCTCCTCGATTTCGTATTAGCTTATAACGAACCGATTGCTAATTGACTTACCGATAAACGGCCGATTCATCGTTACGATTAGAAAACATATTGCATTGCGAAAATAATTAGTCATGTTTAATGAGCAAATCCTTTTGCACGCGGTGTTCAAATTATATGTGCGCGTAACGATGGGTTAAGTACTTCGTCGTGTATGTATATAAACATTGAATTTCGTGTTGTTATTGGTGTAATATGCTGTTTTGCGACCCGTATTGCTTCAGGAATTATTAATAGTACACACAAATCCGTTAAAGGTCGTTGAAATCAAAATGAAATGCGTAACTATTAGCATCGGTTTAATATTCCCAGTATACTACTACCGAAAACATAGTAGTTCTGCAGACTCCCTTTTAGGTGCTGTGGAATAAAAAAATAATGCTTGTTAAGTTTTTGCGTTATCAATATGCACTCGTGTGGTATCGTAAGCTAACACAAGAAGTTTGAGAACCATCATATAATAATAACCATAATGTATTAAGCTCCGATTATTGTACGTTACATTGTATTTGGACGATTATATATACCTTCAAAAGTTTAATTATACTACGATTGGATTTTATGAGAACTTATTAGTTCGATTCCCAGAGGCTGATATGAAATAAAAATTGCTGGCGTAACAAATTTCAAATATACAGTAACCCCTTTTAATCCGCGAAGGTTACGTTCCAGCAAACCTGCGCGGATAACGAATCCGCGGATAACGAGACCATAAATCAATGTAAAAAGGGAGTTTAGGTTTAATTTTTTTTAATTCCTACAACTAATTTATTTATTATCTATCGTATTGTTTCTTCATTTTTACGTATTTCTCGAACACTAGACTCATTTATTTTGTACGTTCTAGCAAGTGAAGCTCAGTATCACAATTTTTTAATTTGTCCAAAATTTCAATTTTTTTAACGATTAATAAAAAAACATTTCTTCTCCTTTTTATTGACATTTTACATTGAAGAGCTATTTAAAAATATTTTCACTACTAAATTTATTAACATAGCTGTATATGCGTCACGCACAAATATCACTTTATAAATGAGCAATTGAAGATTATTAATCGTGCATGTGTAGGTAAATTTTTGTGATTTATCTGCAATTAGTATAAGTATGTATAATGTATATGTGTTATACGTATAGCGATATAACAACAATTATCATCTACAATTATTGTCAAAAATAAATGTCTATAGTATTTGTGTAATAACGGTAAAA